GGTCAGGGCGGTGCTGCAGGGCCCGGCGGCCGCGCGGCTCAGGGGAGAAACACCAGCGCGGCCCTCACCGCCTGCAGCATGGCCTGGCCGCCTGTGGGGAGAGGCTCAGCGGTGGGTCCCACGCGTAAAGATTCGGGATGCAACAGGAAAGTAGAAAACTTGCTTTCAGAGACGGGAACGGCCCTAAACCTGAGTTTAAGGGACAGATCTGGAAATGCCATGTTGCCCGCATCCCTTCTTGCTCTTCCGCTCTCTTTTCTGGTCCATCCTATCTACCGATTCATTTTCACTTTCAACGCTGTTTCCAGCATTTGGAGACAGATTGCACTTTTCCTCCATTTGGACACAGAAATTGACTTCCCAGAGAAACGTCATTCCATGTGTCACCTGGTTCTACCTGTTTTAAATAAATAGCACAATAAAGGGAGAACACAGGTATGAAGAAAAAGAGGTGGATACTAATGTTCTTTAAAAAGTATATTAATTAAATGGCCTTTACTTGAACAACATCATTTCCCTCATCCAACTCCGCAAAGGATCGGCTCCTATCAACGAAAATGTTTTCCCCGAAGCAGTTTTAATGACTTGGAGGCTCTTCTGCTCCTGATCTGTCCCAGGAAAGCCGGCCCCATGGGCAGAACTGACAGGCAGCTCCCTGAAGGCTCAGCAGCGCCCCACTATCTCCCACCATCTCTACAGCTGCCGGGCGGGGGACGGACAGAGAGCTCCACCCCCAGCCAAACTCATTTACCCTCCCACCCCAACAAGGACCCTAAAGCCACCAGCTCACACGCCCTGGGCTGCTGCCAAGGGCCATCATGATGCAACAGCTGTGCTATCGCTGCAGCCCAGCCACTCTTCTCAGAAGCCCACGGCAGGGGATCAAAGCCCTGCCCGTGCGGACGATGGTTCTGCAGGGAGAGAAGATGTTGGGGAGAGCACAGAGAGGGCTTGTGAGGAAGCACGTTGCACCTCTGTGCTGCTGTAGCTGCAGCAAAATGGTACTTGGGAATGAGTGTCCACACTGAATTTTCCTATTTACAGCAGTTTAACAGAATTAAGATTGTTCCTCGGGGCACATCCCCACGTTTACACGCCGTGCACAGTATTTAGCCATGTCCCTGCTAGTGGTGTCATGGAGGAAAGCAAGCATGAGGAGCCCTCCCCCCTTCACATACATCCTCCTCCATGATGCATCTGAATTTTGGTACCAGTATTTCCAAGCCAGGTCCTTTGCCAGAGCTGGGTTCAAGGCAGCAGGCTGCTGCCCTGCTTTGAGGTGCCAGCGCTCAGCGTCACACCAGGATGTCAGCTGGTTTGTGCCCTCTCTTTGGGTGTGTGAAAGGATGCTCTGCTCTTCTGACTTCTGGCCCGGAGTGGAGTACTGTGTGTTTAAAAAAAAAAAAAAACAAAAACAAAAAAAACCTTGAACAAAACTTGAATTAGTTTCACATCTTTGTTTACAGGAATTTAGACACTCAGAAAGGTGGAAGTAAGAGCAGCCCAGGGCAGTTGGGTGAGGCAGGTGTGAGGTGTTGTGTAACTAAGCTGTTTGCACAGGTCCCCCTTCAGACTGCCCACCCTGGGGTTCCAGCCAGGGCAATGACCCCAGCACCCACTTCCACCCAGGTCCTGGCATGTCTCATCAGCTGCAGGTGGAGCTCAGCAGCATTCTCTGCCCCAGGCACTGCTGCTGTGGTACCCTTAGTGCCAGCAAGACAAAGCTCATTCCCACCAGGCACAGCTCACCGCCCCCAAACCTCAGGCCCCATCGCGCCTCTGCTTCTTCATTGTCATGGCTACTGCCTTGGCTCTCAGCTGACCTACCTGGTGGCATTGGATAACACTCAGGATGGGCTATTTGTTTCTCAGAGAATTGGTTTTCTTCCATTTTCATGCAGATGGACTACAGGACAGATAGACAGTGACTCCAGGTTGCCGACTGCCTCCCACCACTGCAGCAACTGATGAAAGTTGGTGAGGATAACTCCATGGGAGACATGGGCTGACTCATCACTAGCTGAGGACACAGCATTTGCTGATGGTTTTCCCCTGATTTGAGGAAGGTAATTTGTTTGCATGGCTTCATCCAGCCATATTCAAACATGCCAAATCCTGAAATCCTCACCCATTGCTCAGTCTGTCAGAATTGATATTTGTATAGAGCATCATGCTGAAGGGTCCCTACTGAGGCCTGCAAATGCCAAAGCCTGAGTTCCACATTCAGCAAAAAGAAATCTAAATACTCTAAATAGAAGATGAGACAGGGTAGGTGAGCAGCAGGACACCATCACTCAATACTGTCAAGAATACAAGCAGTGGTCTCTAGCCACCACTTTCTCCAACAGGTTTGAAGGTAGCCCTCAGGATTATCCTTGCACACTTACCCAGCTGTGCTGAGGAGAAGGATGCTCCGTATCTCCCCAGAACCAATCCAAGCCATAAGGACTTAGACCAAAACTTCAATGGGTTGAATGAAAAATTTGCCCATGTAACTTGCCTCCTGGTTTAGAGGTGGTTGCCCTCCACTTGCTGCAGGGTTTATAACTCAAGGAAGGACTCTGCCAAAACTGAACTGCAGGGCTCTGCCTGTTGAGCCAAGGCACTTTAACAGACTGTCTTACTGAGAAATCTAAAGAACAAAACAAATATTTATTAACTTTATTCTAGCTGGACATCACCTTTGCTGATGCAGCCCATTAAGCTGCAGGTCTGAGAGTACCGTCCTTAGCTGCCTGATGACCAGCCTCTTTGGAGTAATGGACAGCTGTTGAAAAGTAAAGACCTTGCATGCTTAGCATCTCCACTGTCTTTAATTTTTTAAACTGCTGTTTCTTGCCTATTCAAGCTCCTTACCCACCATTTACAATTCTCAGGACAAATTCTGCAGGTAATATATGACCACATATGGGGTTATAATGGTGTAACTGGGCGTGTTGTTTCTTTACTGTTTGAAGCTGGGCACAGTGCTGCAGACTCAGTCCCATGAGTGCCAGATAGGAGAATGAACGTTAAAAGACTTTCAAGAGCTGGAAAAATGAAGCTTTCCAATCAGCTGGTCATCAGCAGTGAGTAATATGCAAGAGCACCACTGATTTTGGTGGCTTCCTCAGGATCTGTGAGCACATTGTGGAGCTGAAGTAGCGAGACCCAGCATTGCATTCCTATGTGTGCTCAAGAAGGTGGTCACTCCTCCTTTCTGGTAGCACCACCTTCTTGTTTCCTTCAGCAGAAGGTGGCAATGGTACCAGCAGAAGACTTTTGACCTACCATTGACTTGCCTCAAGCAGGTTTTGGTGTCAGCTCCTGTGCTCTGATCATGGAGGCTGTGGCTGATCTCTTGCCACACATGGAAAATTACAGGTCATTCCTGCTGTAGCAGCCTGTCAGTCACCATGAAAGAACAGTGAACTTTCCTCAGGGTTACATTCCTCAGCACTTACTCATTCAGAACTGCATATGGGAGGAAGGCAGCCCCAGGTCCCTCATTTCTGGACAAGCTCATGTTGTTTATGTTGATCTGGGCTATTGAGCAGCAGCGTTTCTGATGCATCTCACTCACTGCTACTGCTTACACCAAGCAGTCTGAGCTACCCTTTCCCTCTTGTTCCAGAAAACAAGAGCAGCCAGGAGCCCCCCTGTACTTCTGAATGGTTTCAAAGAAAATTAACCTCAAACCATGTCAGGCAATAACTGAGGAGACAAAGGCAGGACTGCAAATCATTTTTCCTAACCAAGTCAGTGGCAGGCAGCTTGGTTATCACCAAAGCCTTACTCATCTGCAGGAAAGTCCTGTGTCCTAGGTACCCTTCATCCCTGCTCTATCTGCTCCCAATGACCTGTTCTTCCCCAGCAAAGATTTTTTTTCCTGGGAGATGCAGATTATATTCAACAAAGTGGACACCTCATACCACCAGATTTTTCTGGCGTATGCTGGCATTCCTACCCCAAGAAATCACCTAGTCAAGATTGGCATGAACGGACTGAGAAAGGATCTTGCCTCTTTGTCTTTGGGATAGTACATTTTGGACCTGTTCTACTCCAGATGTCCATGACATCTGCACTCTTCCAGAAGGGCAGAGAAAACAGGGAGACTTACTGCACATTTTTCTGGTGGCATCTGCCAGACACTTCCCTGAAGAGCATGAGAAGGCTGAGTATTTTTCAGAGTTCAATTGCAATTATGACAAAAAAGGGACTGAGAAAAGCAGGCTCCTTCCATGCCATGTTCTGTTGCTCTGCCAGGGCAAATTTCTTTGTGGGGTCTAGCAGTAACCCCATGGTGACAGGACAAGGTGAAAAGACTGTTTAGCTAGTCAATCCCTGTGCACAAACTGGCAGCAGTAGGAAAGATCCCAAATACATTCAGATAAGTGAAAAATGAGATAGGCATACACCTACATATGAAGGCAGTAACTGACCCTAGGAATTGTAACTGGGGAAAAAAAAAAAAAAGGTAAAATGAAATTAGAGAGACAGATGCAAGTGCCGGCAGCACTCAGGGGACCATGAAAACACAGAAAAGTGGTTTTATATTGC